ATTTCTCATTACAAATAATAAGAAAAAACATTTTGAATAATCAGCCTGATGCCTTCTTCATGGTGTCATGGGGAACCTAGTCAAATACAGAAAGGCATGTGCACATGTAACCCATAAAAAACCACCTAGGAAGATGGAAAGAGCAGACCAGGAAGGATCCTCACTCACTGGACTGCCACTGTGCAAGTATCCTTTGCCTTTTTTCTTAGGAGTGAAAGTGGAAACTGAGCTTAGGAGCAGAACAGCCCAGTGAAGACAAACCTTTATTAAGAATAATAACTCCATTGGCTCAGGGTCTTACTTCCTGAACAGTCTCAAGGTGAACCAAGGGATAAAAATAGTCTGTGCTGTATTATTTTTCTTAGTTAAGACATTAGTCACATTATATTCCAGGATTTGCACTCCCAAAGTAGCTTTCACATCCAAATTGTCACATTCTTTTCAAACTTAACATTTTACTGATGAATAAAAAATAAAACAGAGATGTCTGAAGCATAAGGGGACATTAACTTTGGCAGCTTCTAATGTCCTCCCCAACCCCGGCTTTCCATCATATCTAATGTGATATTGAGAAAATCACTTTCACTCTTTGAATTCAGCTTCATAATTTGTAAAATGAGAGGTCAAATATCTTCCAGCTTTAACATATAATTTGTTTGGAACATGTGCAACACAGCCAGCACTGTATTCTTCCTTGAAGGAGGCCTCTGCTATTTAATTATAGTAGATCCTGCTATTTTCATATTTGACATCTGTGGCTTTGACTATTCCCAGAGACCCCCCAAAGATCTGAGAGCTGCAATAACCTGTTATTTTGCAGATGCGTGCTGTGAGCTGGAGATATATAGGAGCCAGTCGCTTGCTTAATGAGTGAAATTAGCATGCAGGCAAAAGTCATATCTCCAAGAGGTTTTGTTACTGTTTGCTGTAGGCTCGGCAGCCATAATTCTGCAGTGATAAGCATAAAACTAGGGATTCTCCTGGATCATGAAGATGTCAGTAATACCTGTCACAAAATGTCAAGGGTTCATTGTCATACAGGAGTAAGTCAGTCACACACCATCTTCCATCCCTCTTCCATCATGACTATGCCCTTAAAGAAGGTTCCTTAACACTTGAGTGGTGTCTCTCACACACAATACAGAGATCCTGTTCCCCTCCCCTTTTTTTGACTCGTGCTCAAACTTACTGTTCTCCTGTGGGTCTGTATTTGTGTATATACAGTGATCCTTTCTTTCTGAGAGGAAGATCCTTGAGAGAGGAAATGCTAACTTGTCTTATTTCTCTCTTTGGCACTGAGTAATGAACTAACACATAACAAACATTCAGTAAACATTTTTTTTTGAGTGAGCACCTGTAGGAGAAGGCAGTGTGCTACGGATGCATTTCTTTTCTTATTTGGAGTTGTCATATCATTTATATTGCTTCAACAACAACAAAATCTCTAGAAGCCATGCAGATGACACCACTATGCAAAGTTACCCTGCCAGTGGGTCTCGGGGATCATACCATGATGCTGTCTTAAAGGAGTAAATGAGAAATACTCACGGGTCTAGTGTGTGCACACATGCATTCACACGTGTGGATGTGGGAGTGCAGGTGCTACAACACTCGTGTGGAACCCAGAAGATCCTGACTGTCTGTCATCTTCTACCTTGTCTGAGACAGGATCTCTTCATTGTTTTTCTACTATATCTGCCAGGTTAGCTGGCCTGCCAACTCCCGGGGTTCTCCTGTCTCCATCTCCCATCTCCCAACAGGAGCCCTGGGATTACAGGTGCTCACACTATGCTTTCATCTTTTGTGTTCTGGGGATTCGCACTCAGATTCTCATAGTGGCATGGCAGGCGTGCTTACTGAACCATCTCCTTGGTTCCAGTATTCCTGGTAAAGCATGGTAGTACCTAGATGACCGTAGTCAAGGCAAAAGTCCAGTATCACCAGGCTTGATGATTAATGGGCAAATAAAGCTTCAAAAGACAAGGAGTCAAAAGAGGGATTCTTCCAAAAATGACTCAGCTTTTGTCCAAGCATCCAAAGGTATCAAACTCAGATCCCAGAATGGCTTTGCAGTTAGGAAGGCCTTGGTAAGAGTTGGGTTGTTACTGTGTTGGGTTTGAAAGCAGAGTTGGAAAGCATTTATTCTTGAATCAATTAAGCAAGTCATTTGAAAAGCTTCTTTCATTTCTAGGTCTCATGGTTTTGTCAGGACCTTCGTATTCTTTACTTATAAGTTGGGGCCAGCACCATCAGGGGTTTGTGGGAAATGTTCTATCCTAGACCTTTGCATCATGATGTATACTTCTGATAACAATGTGTAGGGATGAGTGCTCTAGAAGGTGAAAGGTCACATTTCATAAGTTCAGGTGAGGACTCTTCACAGGGCCAGGAACTAGCACATTTATTAATTGCAGTCATACAAAGATCCAAGAAACCTGATCCCCTCAGTAGTGTCTCCTGAAAATACTGCTCATTCATCACACTGCTGCCACTACCAGCCTTATGTACTGAACACACACCACAAAACAACAAGCTCTGCAAGAAAGATATCCCTGTTTTACCAGTGGGAGAGTTACATCATAGGTAATAAAATTTTCTTTCCTCATGTGGTTAAGTCAGCAGAGAAGTTAGACTTCTGGTCAAAAGTATGCAGAATCCATGGTTCCTTTATTCCAAAGCACTGCTTTCTTTCTCTGGGTATAAAATTGTAGTTTAAAGAACCATGGATCAGATGGCTATACAGCAATAGACTAAGATGCTTTGGACTTGCTATTCTGCAGTCAAGGAAGACTAAAGGATCAAATCATTCTGAGGTCAAACAGCCATGCAAATGGATAGATGGAAACACAGACTTGTTAGCCAAAGCCAAGGCACATATACACATTAGCACACCATACCCCCCCACACACATGAGTTTTGAGAAGGTATAGTTATACTCAGAGACTCTAGATGGATAACTGATTGTTAAGAGAATGAAGAAATTGGGGACCAATTTCTAATCTTCCCCAAACTGACTTTCTATGACACTGGAAGACAAATATTGAATAGGAATTCCCCCAAATCTAGCCAGTTACAGGAAATTGTATGGATGTGGTGTCACCTAATGCTTAAGAATGAATACTCACATGCTAACATTACCATATACATGTATGAAACTTCCAAAAGTCATCTTCCCTGTGAGAGTCTGGCTTTACTTGTGTGTGTGAAAACTATCCCTAGAGCATATAGAAATGGATAGTGTTCTCTGGAAGGCATGGGTTTTTACTTATGCTAATAAATGATCATCCTTCTCAGCAAAAAATGATGAAACAGTGTTCTGACAAATCAATTTGTCAATGGCTATTTCTCTTCAGGAGTCAGTATCCCCTGTCCTATTCTTTTAACAAGTGATAAGTAATATGACTGACACTCAATGCCTACATCAGGGTTCAGAAGATCTTAGAGTTGGAAGGAAGTGTATGATAATCTGACCCTACCTGCAGGCAAGGAAAGTATTTTTATTGTCACTCTCTACATGATGATTTCCTTCAGTTACTAAGGTACTTGTCCAAAGTCAGAAGAGACTGGGAAACACAACTGCAGAATCCCTTGAGTCACCCAGCTGTTGCCAGCAGAATCCAAGCCTTTTAGATTGCTCCATGGCTTCCCAATGGATAGACCCAAAAAGAAATTCACCAAGAACATCTTTCCTGGTCCTGGGCCCTACGGATCCCCCTTTCCATGAGGTCCCCCCACCCCATTTCTTCTGGTTTCTGAATGGCTCCGTTTCCCACATGGAGAAGCAGCAGGTTCTTGGAGCAGTTTTTTGGGTTTTTGTTTTGTTTTGTTTTTGTTTTTTGAGACAGGGTTTCTCTGTAGCTTTGGAGCCTATCCTGGCACTCGCTCTGGAGACCAGGCTGGCCTCGAACTTGGAGCAGTTTTATAGCCTCTGTTTCATCCCTTCTTCCCACCACCTCCTGCTGTGGAAGAGTAAGTACTCAGAAGAGGGTCCTTTCTCATTGGTGTCCTCCTCAGCTTCCTTGAAAAGCTGACCCTGCTGTAAGCTAAGAAAGCCAGTCATTGCTTTTTTTCAATGCTATCTATGCCACCAGAGATGCAGACTGCCCATTTTCAAGGAGGATCCATGAAGAGAGATGATGGGAGAACATTTTTCAGGTTCTGAGGGGGCTGAATGGGGCAACAAGTGGTGAGATAGTTCAGGGGAGTCCTGAACTGTGAAACAGAGGACCACACAGAAGGTGTATTTTCTTCCACAAATCTCTTTTAGTGCATAGCCAGAATTTGAAGCTTATACCTGACTCTAGAAGCAAAAGACAGTGACCCTAAAACTTTTCCTTCTTTATACTTCCAATAATCTGGCCATATCCACTTGCCTCCTTCAGGTTAAACAAGCCTTGCTCCACAAAATAGCTTATGGGTATTTAAAAATATTGTCAAGTTTCGATCAATTTTTCAATTTCCAAATGGAAAGTGTAGTGTCTGAGATCTGGCAAGGTAACACAACTGCAGTGTGGTACTGGGGAAAAGCAAACCAATGCCAATTATTTTTTTGAGGATATTATGACCAGACTATTATTGTCCTGTGATAGTAAGTTTCCAAACTCATCACCTTTGGTATGGAAGAGGGAATAAGGAGAAGCCTGTGTACATTCCCAGCTCACACTTGGTCACAAGCATACTCCAAGATCTTATAGAAATGTCTGCCACCTCACACCTCTACCGTCCATCATTTTGAGTTTCAGTGGACAAAACATTCTGTATCCTTAGATCTTGTCACTGGACTCTTTGTCCAGAAACAATATAGAAAAAGAAAGCTTAAGGAGAGCTTGGGAGCAGGACCTGTCCAGTGGTGTCTGCTGCTCCTGCATACCTGTGATGAAAGCAAAATTTGGGATTAGCACAAACACAACCCAGTGATGTAAGGAGTAGTACCAAACTACAGAGAGAGATGGCGCAGGATGGGCTATGGATGGATGAAAAACCAAAAATAAGTTACTTACACTGTTTCATCATTCTTGAACTCCAGCTCCCCATATGTATCTTCAAAGTCCTCACCACCACCCTTGGCTGTCCCTTCTACTGTCCTAAAAGGGACGATGACTGTGCCCCGGGCACCTGATGTCCTCAGAACCTTGACCTCCATAACTCCAATACTTTCACTGACATGAATGGTATCACATTCAAAAGTGAAAATTCCTGCATGATCATCATCCAAGATGGTAACTGTGGCCACACAAGGAGAGGCCAGGACAGCCCGAGGCAAAGGAAAACTACCAAGCATCGCTGGGGGCATCCCCTCCTCCAGCTGCTCCTCTTCCACACGGACGTTGCTCAGCCTCACAAAGAAGTGTTCATCCTCCTCAAAGATGTCATCATCAATGATGCCCACCGAGAACTCCTTCTGGGTCTCTCCTGGCTTCAGAACCACCGTGCCCTCTGTGAACTCATAGTCAGCCCCGGCATTGGCAGAGCCATCCTCTGTTTTGTAATCCACATACATGGTCTTGGACACGTCTCCTCCTTTCCTCACCACTGTCAGGAGGACAGCTCCACAGTTCTCCAGGCACTGGTAAGAACAGGGGTCAAAGAAGACCTTGGAGGCAAAGTCCTCGGGCTCATCAGTGTGCACTTCACTCATGCTGGAGGTCTTCTTGGCTTGCTCTGCTGCGTGTTTCTTAAGTATATTGCCTGCACCAGTCATCATACGGGTGGCTTGGATGCGGTAGAAAGCACGGCTCTTCTGTTGGTGAGAAAGAGCATAGTAATTGGCCATCTCCACCAGCTGATCTAAGTCCTTCTCTGGGTGCTTTTGTTTCAGATCCTTAAGAATCCGGATCATCTCCCTGCGAGATTCATCTACCTCCTTCCCTTCCAAGGGTACCAGGTTCCCATCTAGGAAGTGGGAATTCATCATTTTCCCATCCATCTCAATGCCCTTAGGGTGGTCACCCTCTGTCTCAATGATAATTCCCCGGTGTTTATCTGTGCGGTATTTTTTGTGCATGTATTTGTAGAAGAGCAGTCGCTTATCTGCCACCCAAGCCAGCAGGACACACACTGGAAAGAAGAAGAGAGTAAGGAGGCCTTCCCACACCTGGACCACACCAGGAGAGAAGACTGCCAGGATCATATAGAGCCAGATATAGGCAAAGATGCTCCAAGCAGCAGTGACAAAGAAGACTCGCAGGTGCTTGATCTTCCGAGTCTCCCCATCTGGGATCACATAGACGCAGATGCCAATGATGACAAACATGTTGAAGGCTGCACTGCCCACAATGGTAGATGGTCCCAGATCACCAGCAACGAACCCATGACCACACACCTCAATTAAAGACAGGAGGATCTCTGGAGCAGAAGAGCCCAGGGCCATCAGGGTCAGATTGGAGACAGTTTCGTTCCAGACCCGAATTGTAGTTGTGCTGGTCTCTCCATTGGGCTTTTTGATAGTCACTTCCCTCTCTTGGGAGGTGATGACTTCAATAGATGCCATGAAGCGGTCGGCAATGATAGACACCCCAAGAAACATGTATATCAGGGCCACAAAATAGACAATGACCCTGGCAATCTTGTCCCCCAGGGAAGGATTCTCTGGATACCAGATCGGCAGGATGACACCCTCCTTGCAGTCCGATGACCCCGAACAGGACTCATTGTTCTGCCCTGCACTGGGCACATCCCCCAAGTCACCAGCCTCTGCTCGAAGACCATTCAGGAAGAGCACGAAAGTAACCAGCCCAAAATGGAGGAAGGCAGAGGTGAGAGGCTGTAACCGTAACCACGCCATACACAAGTCTTAGATTCTGGCTCTACTACAGCACCAATGGTCCTCCTGACAGGCCTGAGACCTAGAAAATAATCAGAGAGGCAGGAAAAGACATGAGAAAAACGGGGGCAACAAATGGCAGGTTCCCACCAACACAAATGATGGTTCACCTTGATTGACATATGGCACTGACATATGGGGCCGTCTCTCACTTGGAAAAATAGATGTCAATGGGAGACACAAATAGCTTCTCTGTCCTCAAAAACCATCTGGTAGAGACTCGGCTGAAGAATGGTCAGAAATAGCTGGCAAGCCTAGGAATGGAAACCCAAGTGATACCTCCTAGTCCTGAGCTGTAACTCCAGTTGTCCCTAGAATCAACTTAAAATAGGTCCTTAAGCTCGGAATCTCCTTGCCAAGCTTTCATACTCCAGAGTCTTACAAAACACGGGTTTGAAAGCATATATACCGAATTGAGCTGTGTTTTTAATGGGCTGGTCCCTGATACAGAACACCTGGTTCTGTGTGTAATTGAGCTCTCATGGGCAAAAGCTCCTTCTTCAAATACAAAACTTCTGGAGGTAGCCAGGAATTCTGAAGCTTCTTGTAAAAATAATAAAATTAGTTTCATAGCGACTGCTGTCTGCACTGTAGCTAAACTAAAACTCTGCAAAGTGTGCTTCAGACCCTAAACCATGCTTAGAACAGGCTATGGATCATTCAGTCACCAAATTCCAAGTGGAAACATGGAAGGGGCCAAGAAGGAGAAATTGTTAGCATTAAACAAGTGAGCGGCTCTGTTTGTAGAGACCTGAAGTGTATTTGGAGGTGGCATACAGCCTTATTGTTGGGCTCAAAGGACTGAGTGGTGACTGGGTGTTGAATGGAATAGAAGGACACTCAGTATTTTCAATTGAGGCTATGAGCATCTACTCATTTGTGGCTGTAAGTCCTTTCATCCCCTGGCTCACTCAGACAGAATAGGAATGGAAACAACCAAGCAATAGTTTTTAGAGGCAAGCCATCCACCTTCCTCTTGCTATTAAAATCCTGTGGGGTGTGGCTAGTAATGCAGGACTGTGGACTTGTGGCTGCACCGCACCTTAAAGACGTTAAGGCCATCATCTTCCACACCGGCTGTTCTTTCCCTACTGGCTGTCACTTCTGAAAGCACCGCCCCCACCTATCCAGTTATTTGAGCTAGACAACAGGTGTTCATCTGCAAGCATCCCTCTCTCTCCGGCTCTGAGCCAGTCTCACACTAAATCATACTAATTCTCTTTCTGATCTTAACCACCACCATCATGGTTCAAGCCACTATTGTCCCTTATTCGAAGGACCTGCTACAGTGACCTTCTAACTAAAAGCCCCACTTCAACTCTTGCCATAGAATAAATCTCAGTTCTGCTTTCCTCATTCAGTCACTGTAACATTGGGATTCTGGGAAGAGGACCAAGGACCCCCGCACTTGCTGGACAAGTTTCCTACCACTGAACAACATTTCCGGTCAACCACAGTAACCAAAACAACAGCCCCCACCACCACACACAGAAAACCACAGATTTAAGCATGTAACTCCCCTAGTTGAAGCTCTTTCTTAGGTTTTTGTTTTGTTTTTGCTTGCTCTTGGTATAAATCCTTGATTCCCTACTGTGGTCAGCAAAGAAAGTCTTGTAGGAGCCATCTCCTTCATTATCACTACACCTCATCCTGTTTCTCTCACTACATTTCAACAATGCTCTTCCTTCATTTCACCCTAATTATACAGCCTAGTGTCTACCTCAGGACCTTTGAACATGCCATTGTTCAGGCATGAAATGAGAGTTTCTTCTTTGTACCTTCCAATCGTAACAAAGCTTTGTATCAACTAAACGTCACTTTCTCAAGTGAACAAAAATTCCTCTGACTGCTGAAAATGGTCACTTTCCTCTGTTATATCCCCTCATTGGGCTCTTTCCCTCTATGGCATTTTAAATACTTTGAAACTGTATGTTTATTTTCTAGTATTAGATGATTAATGTCTTATCCATTAAGCTATGATGACATGGAGCAAGGGCTGGGTCTCCTCTGCTTACTGTGGAATCCTGAGTGGGTGTTAGCAGTGTTCAGTAAACGTGTGCTTTTGAAACAGATAAATGTAGCCACCAAAAAAGCTTCCCAAGAGATCAATCAGCCTTCTTCAAAAACTATTTTATGACCTAAATTATAGCTAATTGCTTTGGAAATATATAAGGATCTCATAGACAAACCATGACTCAGTTTTAGAGGTTGTGTAGGCTCTCTTTCAATTCCTAAAACTCGCTGACAGAAACTCCCTCCAGGACAAAGTATATCCAGTGTATACTCTAACTACAAAGGTCTTCCTTTCAAAGAGCTATAGATTAGCTCCCTCTCATATTGCCCCTCATATTGCTGGGGCCCACACTAGTCCAGGATCTGAACATCATCATAACAATGGCTTGGGGCCTCTGTCACTCAAAGGCTCAGGAGTCATGAGATGACTATGGAGGAGCAGAGTACTTGAAGGTGTTCAGTATCACATCCAAAGCTTGAAGATGATCTTGGAGTTGTGATATGCACAGAGAGTCCCCATTCGTGAGTCTGACACTCACCCTTGGGAAATTTTGGATAAAGGAGGATCTTGCCTTCTTGCCTCTACTTTCAAAACTCCTCACTTGGTGGATTCTCATAAGCCCCATGCAGGAGGAGATGGACGTGAGCTCAACTTAAGCAGCTTTTTAATCAAGAGCCCACAGGGTGACAGAAGGTGGCATCCCTGGATGGATAGACATCCACAGGTAAGAAAGGACACGGGCATCATGGAAGTGGTTGTCCTGACCAGCAGGGCAAGGATTCTTATTCTACACAGCGGAGACTTAAGACAGCCACGATCTTAGTTATCCCTCAGCCCTGCAGAAATATTGTGGTGCCAGGTTGTCGTGGGGAATGCCTTGTCTTGGGGCTAGAATCAGAGGCTGGTTTCCTAGAAAACTAGCAAGCTGAAGGCAAGAACAAAAGAAAACTGCAGGAAGGTGACTGGCTAGTAAGTACCTGCACCAGTGTGTGGGGTGAAGAAAGAAACTGATTTCTCTTTCTGCTTGTCCCGCCGTCCCCAGGAAATAGATTCTGGCTACAGTATTGTTAGACTGTAAGGGAACAGCTCCACTGACCAAGCCAACTCTCTCTCTCTCTCTCTCTCTCTCTCTCTCTCTCTCTCTCTGTGCCATTGTTCCAGGCCCAAGCACAAACTAAGGCAGATTCTAAACTTTTAGGGTGTCTCCTTACCCTTTTAAAGATCCAGATCAGGACTCAACTCAAAAAAAAAGATATTAACAGTAATTGCTATTTATAAAAGAACTTACTACACACACCATGCTACTTGTAATTTTTATAACAGTCTTGTGTAGTTAGTAAAAATTTTATTTCCATTTTTGTATTTTGGAGAAAAGTCCTACTTAAATCATTTACTCAAAGCATAAGGCAAAAAAAAAATAACACAGCCAAAATACACAGGGAAATGGCATAAAATGTACATTTTTAGCCACTCAATTTTACCAAAATGTTCCATTTTGTTGTAGAACATGAATGGCCCCAGTCAGCTTCCAGTCTGATGTGGACTCGGGAGCAATGTGACTGTGTCATTGTCCCCACATAAGAGACACTAGCCATTTGACAGAGCTTCAGAGTCCCCAGGCTCAGGACTAGGCTGGCTGCCTGATTCTGTCACCCACCTGAATATTCTTTTCATCATTCAGCTTGACAAATATTGACAAATGCCTGTGATTTGCCACTACATGCCAGTGGGTAAAATGAAAAATGAGACACAGTGTTTGCCCACAAAGGTACACTTGAGTAGGAGTAGAAAGAGACACAAAAATAGACAGTTTTCCTACAAAGTGTGGGGGCAAGGGTAGAGCGCTGTAAATACTCGGGGGAGGGGGCACTGAGCCAGCCTGGGATTTAGGGAGGCGGTTCTGAAGGAGATGATCCCTGAAATAGGTCTTCAAGCATGAGTGAGCTTTAAAAAAAGAAAGAAAGTGGGAAGGGCACTCCAGTTAAAGAGAACAGCCCAGGCAAAGACATGGAGACTTGAGACAGGCTGCTGTGTGCCTTGGATTACAGGAAATACAGTGTGGGGAAGAGAAGCCAGAAGAAGAAGCCGGATGGCAGGGGAGTGTTCATTCACCACAGGTCTTCTGGGGAAGGCTGAGAAGATGGGATTTTATCCTAAGACAAGGAAAACCAATCATGGGATTCTAAACAAGAGAATAACACGGTCTGGTTTATATTTCAGAAAAATCCATTTCACCAAAGGCTTAGGATGGCTCTAAGGAAAAAAAAAAGACTGGAATAGAAGGATTAGTTCAAAATACATTTGGGGACAGAGCAGATGCAGATAAAAAGGAACTATAGTCTATTCCACAGAGAGTGACCCTCTGTTCCCATTCTGCTCCTTCAGCAGAACACATCCTGGACCTCCTGCCTCTTTCCTGGCTTATTTTCCTAATGCCCCCGCCCACAGGGCCTTCTGCAAGGTGTCTGTGTCCTCAGCAGTAGCTCCCAACATCTTTTAATATCGCTGGCAAATTTAATTAAAATCACTGTTCCTCTGCTCGTCCAGATCATTAATAAAACAATGCCACCAGGCCAGACTGAGCAATTCCCCCTCCTGCTACGCCCTCCACTTTCTCCAATGGGAACAGAGCTTAGGGCCTGTCACCAGCCTCAGTAGAGTCATTCTGCTCTGCTTCTAAATCTGGGCCCCCACACAGGCGTCACAGCCAATTTACATTAAAGTTATAGATGCAGCCCGGCTGCACCCGCTCTGACATGTCATCTGGATGCAAGCACATGCAGAGCTTCCTGTGTTCTCTCTACCCCCCTAGGGGGATGTCTGTGTAGAGTCCTTGCAGGTACCCAACACCCTACTCTGTCTATAGGTTATGGCAGATGGATGTGTCTTCGAATGCTCAGGTAGCCCAGCTGACACAACCAGAACCTGTATCCATGGAGGAAAACAT